GAGCAGTTATCCTGCGATTGCTGCTAGTCCGCAGGTCAGTTAGAAAGTCTCGGGGTCAATAGGTTTCCCGCGGTTTCCTTTATACAGAAAGCATGGCTTTTTTTTATTTTCGGCGCTTTGCGTTCCATTTTGGTGTGATGTAAGAAGTGTTTGTTATATTCCATGCAAGGGATGTAATGATCATTTCGTTCCTTCGAGGGCGTTGTTGCGGGAAAATGAGCCCAAGGCTGTTGCGTGGGCAGCAGCTGAGGAAGATATTATTTTTTGCTCGTTTTCCGGATGAAGGGAGAAGAAAGTATTTTATTTTCCGTATGTAAGTGGTGTTTGTGTGGGAGACGAGAAAGTTGGCACATGGGGGATTTGATGCCCATGTTCAACGTAACGGAGAAAAAATAAAGTAAAATACATGCAACGGTTGCCCAAAGACGCACCAATTTAGGCGCCTTAAGCTATTTCGTTGGACACCTGAATAAAAGCTTTCTTGCAACCCCTACTAACCCTTGGGTATTTGCCTTGTTGGCTGCCGTTTGTGGAGGATGGTGAGATTCAAGAAAATTCAGACCATGGTATATTTTTTTAAGAACTTGAAAGGTTTTGCATTAAGGTATTGTATTTGATTAGTAATAAGATAGCAACTGGTTCATACTCAGGCTGTGTACCCCGTTTTTGAAGCGGGCTATTAATTTCAATGCATGATATTCCCAACCCTGAATTTGCCTGGTTTTTACTAATGAAATGACATTACATGTTGAATTTCTGCATGCTGATTCAGCAATGCTTTACTGACATGAAAATCACGAGCAAATCTGATAAACTTTCCTCACAAAGGTTATTCAATTTTAGAAAAATGTCATGAGACTTGGAGTGTATGTGAGTAAAGTATACTGAAGATGAATATGTAACTACCAACTATGATGAACCGTATATTCTGGGTTCATTTTCATATCTTTGTCTTGTTCTTCACACTGCAATCTGGTGAAATTTAAAAATTGAAACATTTTTGTGGTGTTCAGGCAACTTGATACTAAAAAAATGATTTCAATCTTCTCCACCAAGCAATGATGCAACATAACTTCAACACAGGATGTCAGAAAGGCTTTTAATCAGGAAATATGTACACCTAATCAATAACCTTGCCTGGTATCATTTTATCATTAGCAAATTGCAAGCGTCAAGGTAGGTTAATCATATGAACTTTACTCTTGTTCATTGCCAAATATCTCAATCAAAGTTAAATATCCAGTATTCATTCTGTGGGGAAGCAATTGGCGCTGTTTCATCGCGAAAAGATGTAACTGACCAAAGAGAGCAACCAGCGCGGCGGGCATCTGGGTAAAGCAGACTGAGCTGACTGACTGAGAGACAGACACAGAGATACTCTCGCTGTATGTACCGTATGGATCCCACAGCCCCGTTGGACATCTTGAACGTCAGTCTTGCGCCGGCGCCGGTCCGAAATGGTCTACGGGAGCCATCTTATTCGGCAAAAATGTCACATTTTTCTAGTTGGCGTCACAAGTGTCGGCGATTTTCGAGTGCCTTGAAGATTTTAAATTTTCATTTGGAGTTGTCTAGTGTCTTCGAAAACGTTCGTGTGAATAGAACTCCAGTTCTGTGTTGGTGTAATCGTCTGTGTGGTGCTTCGGTCGCGTATGGACTCGAGCTGTTTTTTTTTTCTCTTTGGAAGGAACGTGAGTGGATTAATTAACAGTTATGTAAAATTCATCATTGAATTCGGAGCACGTGGTTTCCTGTGTCTGAAAAGCGTAGAAGTAATTCTGAATGAAATGATTAATCCGTTATTCATCATCCCGTGGGAATATATCCTCCCCGAATAAGAAAACTAATTCTGTACTGGATGCATTTTTTCAATCACACGTGGAACACCTTTAATTGGCAAAATATATCATGAAACAAATAAGAACCTTGTCAAGAAAGAGAAAATGCATGTTTCAATATTTCATCCCTTTGTTCTGTATAATGGGTACTGACGGTAACCTCATTTTTAACAGCAACTCATGTAATCGACGTAAAAATGAACATTTATTCTTGCAATTCGCTACTCGAAGCAGGGTTCACTACCTCAAGAAAATTCGTGAAGCAGTTGGAGTCCATTTTATGGAGAAACTCTCTTGAGTCATGATGACATGCATTCATGTACTATCTGCGTGCCAAAGCTTGTACTGTACAATACTGTACTACCGTGACGTACCTCTGCAGAGGCGAAGTTTCGCATAGATCAAGCATTAACATGTACGAAAGGAAAATAACTTGAATTTTTATGTATGAACCAATGATTTAGCACATCATTTGATTTGAAAACTAAAACCTAAGATTATCTGATATCTCATCTTTCGGGTGAGCCGAAATCTCAAAATAGCATTCAAAAGACAGTGTACTGTAACCCTATCATTTCACCGAAGCTGAAATCTTAAAGCATATCCAGTTGCCCGACTTTGCTTTAGGTGGATTAAAATGATCTCAATTCAGATCAACTGTGTACCTCTGAATACGAGTCCTATATAAAGCCGGGAAAGATTATTCGATCGTTTTTCTCTTGTCGGGTGTTGCTTTTCACGAGGAAGAAACCACAAAATAAATACGGAAATGCATAAACCTGCACATTAATCCTGTTTTGAAAGCTTGCAGTAAACGTGAAACGCGGTCAATAAAAATAAAACAGGCTTATGTTCATCCACAAATACAGTATCAGTTCGTCCATCTCGCAGTTGCGCAAAACTCTCCATGTGGTTCGGAACAATGAGGGAACCTAGTTCTTTCTGTGGGTAACGAACGAAACGGGCCTTTTCATACAATCTGTGTGTAGTGGATCTTTATTCTACTCGCACACACACACATTCATGTGTCAGAAAAGAAATGCATTTCTTGTATAGAATTATATCTTTGTTCTTTTTTCTGTTCCTTTCCATTGCTATGGGAAGAACAGGAAAGGGAAATGGTTTCCCGCTGCTAAAGCGCTCTTTTTTTTCTGGGTGTATGACGTAATGAATGTTGGGGGCTTTTTTTTTCCGATACGTTTTCTTGCTGTACCGATTTGGACTTATACTTTATTGCTCTGAGCGACGCCTCCAGGTTTATTCAGATTTTTGAAGAATGAAAGTGTCTGATCTGTCTGTTGAAAAATACGCATTGCATACCCTGAACTTTTTTTAAAATATATTTCCAGTCGCACATGGATTTGATATTTGAAGATTTATTTGATTTCGTTGTAAACCTTCAGCAAATGTATACTCGCAGTTTAACTCAATTCCGTCACGCGAGTGAATATTTTCGTAGAGTCTTCTAAAGTTTTAGTGCTAACTTTTTACTCTTAAACGTGACGGCGTCTTTACAGATGTTAAAAAAAAAAGTGAAAGCAAAACTAGTTAAAATACTTAAGGACCTCTTGGTCTCCGAACCGTTTAGTGAGTATTCTTTCTTTCTTTCTTCACCTCTGATCACACATGGACTCAACCACCCCTCTTAGTAAACCATAAGATACCAGTACTGAGGCTCACAACCAGGAATATTCCGAAGCTCGGAGCAGTGCCAGCACTTCCCTTCGCAACTTAGTGCGAGGTACAATTCGAAAGAGAGAGAAAATGTAGAGAAAAATATCAGTGGAATTCCTGGAAACCTCAGTAATTTTTTTTTAAATTATCATCTGTGATTGTTGTTTTTTTTTATTCATGACGTCGAAGGTGAGGTTTTGGGGTAGAAATTACTTCTCTGTGGTGATTCAAAAGTGCTTTTTATTTTCTGTGGCGTGTGAAGCTTCGATTTTTTTGTGGATATTGTGTATGAACGTGATGGAATGCTTATTCATTCAAATCCAGGGAATCAAAAATAATTTTTAGAAAATTGCGTTGAATTCCGAATTTCAAGATTTTTGGAAAATTTTGCAGGAGTCGCGTGCTCTTCTTGTATTTTTTTATCTGAGTCATTTCACAAGGAGTGTTTTGCGCATGCAAAAATTATGTTTCCTTTTTTGAAACGAAAAAAAACTGCATTTTTAGCATATAGGAGCATGTTGTCAAGTTATTGAACTGATTTTGGCACCTTCGGGTGATCTTTTCCACAATTTCATGAAAATGATTGATGTAATTGTCTGTCCAAGCGATATACAGTACTGTAAAATGTATATTTACGTGAAGCTTTCTTTATAGTTTATTTTTAAAAATCATTACAGTACTTCATGTACTGTAAATTACTGTACTGTACTAATTTTAGAGAAAATTAACCTGAATACTTTCGTTGTTGTTCGAACGTCGATCGGAAATTCGATTTATTTTTTCTCCTGCCATTATCGTGCGGGTGTTGTGTTTATTAACGACTTCAGCGTCCTTAAATTTCGCAAAAATATGATAAGGCAGGAATTCATTGTAGATGCTGGAGATATTTTCGATATTAATGAGATCAGTAATTTCAAGGACTCATCTATGGCATGTTTTCTCAATTTTTTTCATTTTGTTCGAGGTGAATTGTTTTCTGAAGTGATCGTCTGGATTCTTTATTTCTCAATTACCGTCAAAATCCTTATTTTGTGCTCCAATACGATGAATTTTTTTCGTTTTTCTTTCTTTTCCTGAGGGCATTTCAGAAGGTGTCCGGAATTTTTCACCTGTGATTACTTCAATTAGTGATTTCAAAACCTAATAATTTGAAATTTTCTCAGAGTGATTAATTCAATTTCGAGGTGATTTTTGTCGTTCAGTCAATACTTTATTTTAGCGCGTCTATACGACAATCACTCAGTGTGGTTTTATTTTTTCTGAGGATGTTTCAAAAGGTGTGCGGAATTTGTGTTTGCATTTTTAACTAATTTTTCCAGTCACTGATTTCAAAGACAGTGATTGAATGTTATATTATTTTCTCGAAATGTGTCATTTCGTTTCGAAGTGAATTTTTTTATAAGTGCTTTTTTTCGATCATCCGCAATGCTATATTTTAGTGATTCAATCCGATGAATAATATTTTTCGGTTTTTTTCTTTCCCTGAGGGTATTTCAGAAAGTGCGTAACGTTTGGTCCGCGTGACTTTCTTTTGTTGTCGTTGCGAGGTGTGACTCGCTGGCAACCCTGCGATGGTGCTAAGATGGCGGCGCGCGTCGGCGCAATGACGCCGCGGCCATTGGCCAGTGCTTTCTGGTCGCTCGTCATCGTCAGTGTCGTTCTTGTTGCGGGTCAGGAAGTGGTCGTCAGTCGCGGACCTCCGGAAGCGTCGAAACAGGTGCTTCGAATTTATTCGAGATTATTTCTGATTTGTTTTTCTTTGTGAAAGTGAATCGAAAATGCGTACTGAAATTTAGGGTATGAAGCTACTGTAGAATTAAAGACGCCATGATTTTCAGACTAGAGGCTTGAAATTATCGAAACAGATCATCATGAATTATATTCCGAGGACTTCGTTGGAATTTCAAAAAATATCCGGTTTAAAATGTCGAGATTATTTATTTATTAAATGTATACAAATCACTTCATAATCGGAGCTAAAAGAAAATAATCATGAAATTCAATTGACATTCCGAAGAATTTCGTGAAATGAGGCCGAATTTTAGCCGGAAAACTACGTTTCTTTTTTTTTTCGGAAGCGATCCTGCTTCAAACGTCAAGGTTATTTCTTCTCGAAATATATGTTAAATTGAGTCGAATATTCAATTAAATGTTGGCAAGAAAACCGACGCATTATTCTGAAGAGGTTTGTTCGTCCATTTTTATTCGGAAACAGGTCCTTTTTCGGCAGTCGGTGGTGTCGAGTACTCAGTCGTTCGGGTTGCGTGTGCAAAAGGCCACTGCGAGTACTTCAACAGTGGCTACGACGAAAAAGAGATTCAAACCGCCTCCGATTTACCCTGAGAATAGAGTGAGAGAGATTGTCACTCCTGGAACTGTGGATGGCGAAGGAGGTGAGTTTTCTTTTCTTTAAAAATATTTTTTTTTAATTGTATTCGAATTTTTATGAATTTCATGTTGAGAAATAAAAATTTATATTGACAACTTTAAATTTGGTTGCCATTGTGAAATGATTGCGCATGAAGTTTCGTTAAATTTGTAAACTTAGTCCTTGAATTTAAAAAAGTAGTTTATATTTGTGATTAATACTGCGCCACTGTTAGATTCTAATGGCATGAACAAGCGAAAAAATAAGTTTTACTAAATATCAGTGGAATTTTTTATTTTCCTTTGCCACCTTTTTATTTCCAGTTTCACGCGTAATCACGTATAGATGAAAACTCAAAAGATTTGCTGGATAATGTTTGATTTTCCTTGCATCCTCTCATGTTCATTTCACTTTATCCCGAAAGTTTTAGTTGACTGAAACTTCTATTTTCTGTGACTCTTTTTCAAGGTGGAGTTGCTGTGCGTGACGGTGAATGAGAATTCTTTGTAAATTCCATCCTTGACCACAGCCAGTCTCCGTGATCTAAATCCTCACGCGGAACAGATTGTAATCATTCAGAATCTTCACTTGCACAACCTCAAAATTTAGTTCTCAGAAAAAATAAAAATTAAAAAAAACAGAACCGTGGGTGTGTCAAGGCAACAAAATTGACAAGCATTCACACGAGCCACCTGCATTGAAATGCTGCACAAGAAGTCCTTGTAACGAGATTTTTCTGTAATTGAATGAAGGAGGAGGACATTTTTTTTTCATCTTGATTATAAATCTCTAGGATCAAAAAGGCGTGGTTGGTTTGACACTGACCTTCGCAGTGTCTTGCGTCTAAAAATAATCGTGTGTAGCGAACATATACGTGCGACCAATTTTGGAAAACTGGAACCTGTTGTGGGGAACAGGAATATTATAATTGATTCATATTTATTTTTTTCCCCAGTTGGATCAGTGCAAGTCGTCAGGGGCTACGGGAATCCGGTGTCGCAGAGCAGTCGGAGCGCGACAGCCCCGGTGTCGACGTCCGCTTTAACGACACTCGTGTCTATATTCGTCATGACCTGGTTCCAGGCTCGTTGACCTGACGCATCATCGATGGTTCTGCATCGGATGAAGAGAAACGAAAAGGACGGTATCCTTTCTCTGCTGCTGTTGTTTTTACGGCCGAGACGATGAGGAAGGAAGAACGAATTGTTCGGGGAAAAAAGGACGAACCCCTACGCGGAGTCGTTTGCTTGTGTGATACGTAATCGCCCGCGGGGGTGGGACACAGTCTTCTTTTTTTTTATTTATTAATAATAATAAATTGATGCCGACGTTTTGTGATTTACGTTGATTATTTTATCCACAGGCGGTCGATTTGCATATTGATTCTGTGATTTGGTTAGAATTACTTATTGGAAGGATTTGCGGTTTGAGAAATTCCATCCTGTGTAGTTTTTTAGCTTTGGATTATTATTTTTAGATGGAGCGAAATTTTTTTTCAGTTACCCCAACAACAAAAAATTGGTGCTCAACTGTTTTCAATGGCAAATAACGTAATTATAATTTTGGTACTGGTTTTCATTGCTTTTGGTGAAGAGGGCTCCATGAAGTTTTGGCTGAAAAATTAAACCGGCAGAGAGGAATTATTGTTTTATATTTTTTTATAACTTATAATGTTTTGGTTTTTTGGCTGCCGAGATTGTGTCCCCTTTTTGAAATTCTGATCGTGGATTCTTGGCATACATATTCATGTTTCAACTCGATAAAATATTCGGCAGAGGGTTGATTTATGCCTTGGAAATGAGAAAGCGCTCTTCATAATACTGTAACTCGGTGATTTTCAAATTCTGATTTGTTTTCTGCGTACATTTGTTTACGTTGTCCCTTCAAAAATTATTGGACAGCGTCGATTTATGTTTCGGCTATGAGAGAACGCTTTTATAACTTGATACTTCTCAATTTCTGTCAATTTTTATTTTATTTTAATAAGGCTTCATTTCATCTTGTGGATTCGAAATTGGGGCGGAATCTCAATTTTTTTTACAAGTTGGGTCAATCTTTTCTTGATTCAAACTTTGATTCGTTATAGCGTGTAATTTTTCAACAGTTGATGGTTTAAAATGTGTTGCCCACCCCTGTGATACTGTGTTTGCGTGAAAGGCTGCGATTGGAACGGACCTACTTGCGGATAATTGCGTCCCCCGGGGGCTGTGATGAAGTGTACGTGCGTTAACGAGGGTTTGCAATTTAAGCCACCGGAGAAACTGAATGAACCCACTCACCTGTGAACAATGCTGATGATGATGATGACACTGATACGATGTCAGAAATAAAAAGCTTGTTTTATTCGAAGAACCGTGTCGGAGAAAGTGATTTGGGAACGGAGCAATTCATAATCACTCTTCTGTAACCAATTTACTAAGAATTCCTGTTATCTAACCCAACAGGTGAGGCGGGCGGTGCTGGTTAGTGAGAACCCGGCGTGGAGTTGGAGCGACACCTGGATGGAAGCTCGGAAAGCGATGGAGTGGTGAGTGTCGAATTTGTGTTCTGGGTTGCGTTTGGGGTTCCAGAGACCAGGGGAAAAAGATTCTGAGTAACAGAATGATGGGTTGGAGGATGATGTCCACTGCTGTTGGAGGTCTTGTGCCTTGTCGACTTGTTGTATCAGAGCTCCTGCGAACAATTCAATTTGTTATCACAAAATGCCACCTTATTGATGTGGCAATGAGCACATTGTTTTACAAACTAAACTTTGGAAATTTTTCACTTTATGAGGCCATTTTTTCTTTCATATAATTGGCAATCCATTTTGTTGGATCTTGAGCCTGGAATTCTTTGTGGGTGAATAAACCTTGCACAGTTTATGTTGAACATGTGTTTTTAAATACTTTTTTGTCAAACCAGTCAAGCTAAAATGCCATGAGAAACATTTATTCAGCCTGATATGTTGAAATTATTTTCATTTCATTATAAACATGTCCACAATGGTTTCAAGTGCCATGTGGGTGTGGCATGCCTTGCCCAAGATGATGAGTTTATTTCAATTTGTCAATATAAAGCGTTTAATGTGAGGTTTGAACTGGGTAGAGTTATGCAAGTATATACTGTATTGTGCTTTAATTTTTCTGAATGAATCTGGCAGAAGTTTCTTTTGAAGTCCCATCTTTTCATTTCAAAATTTCTCACAGCAACAATGTTCTTTCCTTGTTTTCTGCGAAATAGCCTTCCATAGTTAGTGGAAATGAGTCATTAGACTCAGTATATACATTGCATAGCAAAACAAGCTGAATTTCAAACATTTCTTATAAAATGATTATCATGTTAAGCCCTTCTTCTTGTACACTTATTCTTTAGAAATTTGTCAATGCTTCATGCAAAAGGAGGTCTCATATAGCAATAGTACATTTTGTACAGAAAATGCTAAAATTTAAAAGATGAAAATACAAAAGATAATAGGTTGTGAAATACAGTATAATTCCTCTGCCTCTGGCAACCAGTTACTGTACCCTCTTGCACATCACTGCACATCAGCTGAATTATATTCATCTTGAATGTGGTAGGCACAAATTAATTCTTTGGAATAGATTTTCTATTGGCTATAAGTGTTCAAATGATCCACCAAAACAAGACTGGAGGAATAACAGTCTCTTGTTTAATCTTTTACTATGAAAAGTTATAATACTTGTGATCCTTTACAAATATTTATAGTATCAAGTCATGGATTTTGCATTCCTTCAATAAGATTAATGAATCTGAGAAAATTATTGTCAAAGGAAGTACAGAAAGAAACATGAAATTCTGCATGTTCATCTCAAATATTGAAATAGTCTTTTTGGATTCTCCTGAAAATTATTCAAAATTATGATGGATGGAATTACTGAGCATGAATATCTCAAAATTTGATTGATTAAAAGCTTTATAAAAGTCCACTCACCTAGAAAAGAAGGAATCCACGGTCCTGAACCCATTTCCTACTCTGGAAGCGAATCTTCGTCTAGCTGAGTCTCTCATGTGATGATTGGAACTCAATTGCTGGAAAATGTCTTGAAACAAACCAGACAAAGTCCTGGGTTGTCTTTTTTCATCTTCTTTTGCTGCTCTCGCAGCAGACACGACTACAGTAATAACTGCAATTATCACAATTAACCACTTCATTTCTTGTTTCTCTCTTTATTTCTGTGTTCTCAAATTGGAATCAGAATTCCATCGAAATCCGAAGTAAGACTGAAGTGTAAGGGGAATTCCGAGGCCGAGAGACTTTTTGATTTCTCTTTCCCCTTTTTTTTATTCATCCGTGTTTCCCGAAGCGGAATTGTGCCAGATTTTCGGGGTGAATAAGCTGTTTTCTCCTTCCCCGAGGGAAATCAGGTCGACAAGAAGTGGAAACAAGGACATTCGGAATAAATTACTCAACCTTTTTCCTTCGGATCCCAACAATGAACGCAATTTCCTTTCGAGATGTTTTCCCCCTATATACCGCAATTAAAGACCCCGTTTTCAGGCGAAGAAAAATACTCCCATTTTTTTTTCTGTGTGAAACCTGTTGAGAAGAGGGTTGGAAAAGTTGAGCTTTCATCTCATGCAAATGTCGTTTTCGTTGGGAATCGATCGCTCAATTTGTTTCCCCAATGTGCTTGATGCTTGAGGAACAGGAAGAAGATGGAAGGAAGTTCATTTCTTATTTTCATGGTTGCCTCGGGGGGTAAAAGTGGTGCTGTGTATGTGGGGGGGGGGGGGGATAAAATGGAACCTCTGGGATGCTGGAGGGGAAATTGCAACCAGGATTATGCCGCCACAAAAATCGGGTCATCAGGTCTAACTTCTTATACGCTGTGCAAGGGATTTTCATTTTATTTTTGCATGAGTGTAGTAAGAAACTTTATACCTGAAACTTCATATTTATTATTCCCAGGGCTGCCTTAGCATATATAGAAGATTTTTCAAATGGATATTGACTGCTGGGATTTCATCAGAGAGAGTGTAAGAATTTTCCTACTAAGTCTCAAATATGGGAAGATTTTTTTTTCAACAGCTGAGGGAAGATCTTCTTGAAGCTTTAACATCATCAGTGAAATGGGTTTGACTGCTTAGCCCAAGAATTTTTGACTGTATTGACTATGGGATTGTAAAGAGTTTAAGAATTGCCATAAAAGTTATCAAATACTTTATTGTAAGATTATGTTTGAAAATTCGGGAGAAATTCTTCTTGGAGCTTGATAATCATCAGTATGAGGGGCATGCCTGCCTAGCCCTTTAAGTTTTAAATAGGTATTTACTGGGATTGCAAATTAGTGTGAGAACATCCCTAAAATTTCTCAAACATGTTTTTTTCTAATTTAAAGAGCTGTGGGAAAATCTTGGAGCTGAAGTATTCTCAGTGCCTGGGGTTTGACTGCTTAGCCTAAGAATTTCTGAATGTGTATGGTCTGGAATTGCAAAAAGTTCAAGAATTTTAAAGTTTTAAAACATGTTAAAAGTATTGCTTGTGCTCCAGAAACTGAAATCTGTGCATAGAGATTTTTGTTGATATTATTAATGAATGATTGCCAGTGGTTGACTAAATGACTGCTTAGCCTACTAATTTTCTCTTACACTAAGACTTTGAAGAGTGTAAGAAGTGTTTTGGAAAATTTCCTATATACAGTAAATTTCTGGGATAGTTGTGAGAATTTTGTTTGTCTTATAATGATTTAATGTGATTTTTCAGACAAGCTGAATTCTTTTCTTCTAATAGTGACACCTATGTGAAATCCTCAACAACATGAAGATTCCATCATTGCCTTATTCAGTAATTATGCTGTTAGTCCAATCTTGAGCTGTGATTTTTATTACTGATATTTTGTTTTTGTTATATGGGGGAAGAGCAGAAAGTGAATGAATTTACATCAGTTGTGAAATTTTACATTTTGAGATATATTTTATTTCTTTTTAATATCCATGTAGCAGCTTATTTCTCTATTTTATTTCTTGATGAAATGGAATGTGTTTGGATGAACATGGATGGGGAGGGGTTTGGATGTGGGAATATTGCTTGAACCTTGTGAATGCGGAAAAGCAGAAAATAAAGCTTGCTGATCAATCAATCAATCAATCAACATGGAGAAGAAAATAAATTTACCAATTCCCATGTTGATATTATTAATGAATGATTGCCAGTGGTTGACTAAATGACTGCTTAGCCTACTAATTTTCTCTTACACTAAGACTTTGAAGAGTGTAAGAAGTGTTTTGGAAAATTTCCTATATACAGTAAAATTTTGGGATAGTTGTGAGCATTTTGTTTGTTTGTTTGTCTTAAAAGGATTTACTGTGATTTTTCAGACAAACTGAATTCTTTTCTTTTGATAGTGACACCTATGTGAAATCCTCAACAACATGAAGATTCCATCATTGCCTTATTCAGTAATTATGCTGTTAGTCTAATCTTGAGCTGTGATTTTTATTACTGATATTTTGTTTTTGTTATGGGGGAAGAGCAGAAAGTGAATGCATCTACATCAATTGTGAAATTTTAAATTTTGAGATATATTTTCCTTTCTTTTAATATCCATGTACAGCATATTTCTCTATTTTATTTCTTGATGAAATGGATTGTGTTTGGATGAACATAGATGGGGAGGGGTTTGGATGTGGGAATATTGCTTGAACCTTGTGAATGCGGAAAAGCAGAAAATAAAGCTTGCTGATCAATCAATCAATCAATCAACATGGAGAAGAAAATAAATTTACCAATTCCCCAAGTAACATTGACGTCCACGGGATTCTCTGAAGAAAGTGATCTTGATGGGTTTATCTCAACTTCTTCAGAAGTTTTTGATCAGATGCTCTGGCTGCTTCCTTGCCTATATAGATCAAAACATTACCCCATTGTCTCATCCTTGCCCCTTTTCAAAAGCAGCTGCTGATATGTTGGGAGTTTGTAGGCTCTGTGTCTGAATTCTTGATCAGCTCTGTGATTTCTTCCTTGAGATTACCAAGGACCAGTATTTTTTTTTTTTTTTTTATCTCTAGCACAAAGCAAAAACTTAACTTTTCCTTCTCGTTTCTCTCACTCTCCAACCCCCAGGGGGACGAACAGAGAAATGGGAGAAACAAAAGGGCGACGAGACAAACTGGTGGACACAAAAGCGGGTTAACACTAATCTCTTGCCAGAGTTCATCAACTCCCGGGGTTGCTTCTGTTAATCCTACTCGTCGCTGGGGGTTCTTATCGCTCGATTTGCTGCTTTATCCCTGGGATAAGTCCGCGCCCGGGGTTTCTCTTGCTGCTCTTCTTGTTTGAAGGAAAGGAAGAGACCGACCTTACTTCCTTCCTTCCTTCCGGATTGCTTACGTGACCCGGAGCAATCATG